GTTTTCCCAGAGCCAGGAGAAAATATACTTGCTATTTTATTTTAGGATTGTAGAGAATTAGCAGTGTGCTCCGCTATAGTTTGGAAAGTCTAAGCATAAGCTCCCCAACGTGAAGTCTTTAAGAGTTTGTTTTACGTCTATTACTGCAAAAAGTACCTCATTTAAAAAAAACACCTCTACCTTACAGTGTAAATTAAGTGCCCTAACACAATAAATGAAACAAGCTCCTGCTGAGCTGAGAACAAAGATAACAGATCCTATTGATTTACTAAAGAACATGTATTCTTTCCTATTTTTCATTTAACAAGTCATATGCAAATTAGTACAGAAACAAGCAAATGTTTCAATCATGATCATTAAAAAAACTAAAGTGCTCTATAGCATTGGATTTTTTTAAAATTTAAGATAGTATTAAAATCTCCAGCTTTGCATGTACTGAATAAGTATGTAATCTCATATAACAAGCTATTTGTATAATACTGTGCATGTGGCAAAATGCTAAATATTACTGTTATTTTGTTATTGTTAATAATGTATTTTTTGGAACCACTGTGATGTAAAATATCCTTAAGACCATTTTAACTGGCCAAGCTAATGTGAAGTTTCTCGTTACGGTTATTTTCTTATGACAACATCTCAAGTCCATTTGGGTTTAATATCCTCAACTTCTGTAGTTATTCAGACGGTTCATCTGGACTGATGCCAACCTGATGTCCATTCAAAACTCTGGTTCTAGTGGTGATAGTCATATCAATTTCCCATCGTTCTACTAACCCACTTTGGACTATGGAACCAAAATGTCAAACTCTCCCTCTGTACATTTAGATCTAAATAGTTACCCAAGGAAAGATTTCTGCATTTCTTTAATAATTATGTTTGTTTCCAGATTATACGGTCTAGTTTTTATTAGGGGGAAAAAAACAGGACAGCAAAGTAGTTTTAATTCAGAAAAATGTTTTATCTTCTCTGTGTTGTACCAGATTTCCTTTTCCCAGACAGTAAATGTTTGGGTTTAAGGTCAAATACATGCCTATCTGCCTCTCCTTTCTTGCCCAAGCGATTCATTTTCTTTTGAGAATTCTTCATGATAGTCTTAACCTTCTTCACCATCTATTTGAAACAGAAATAAACATTTAAGAGAGATTCTCTCTTTCTTCTCCTAAGCAAGAAACTTGAAACAAAATTCTATTTAAAAGACTAGCAAACCCAAATTGCAGAATGTCAGGAAGGAGATATCAAAACAAAGGCCAAGGCCAAGCACAAACATCATCTCCGCAGTTAGAGACAAAGAGAGGGCTTTAAAGGCCACATGTAAGAAAAAGTGACAAAAGGGAAACGAATCTCCTTTCCAAACAAAGTTATTTCAGTTAGAAATTCCTTCTGTGAGAAAAACTCAGGCTAGCATCCTATTTCCAAATATATTAAGAGTGACCTAATGATAGCTTTGGGAATCTGAACATTTAGACACAGGATTTAAGTGTCAGATTCTGAGATGTGTGAAGTTAATAATGAATTCCATTTCAATTTAGATTGCCTCTCCTTCTCAGGTGTCTAAAAATAAATTTATTAAAATCGGAGCATTACCAAATAAGTTTTGTGAAAAATAGTTTTAAACCTTTTTGTATTACTACATTTTATCTTTATATGTTGTCATTTTTCAGTGTGCATAAGGAATCAGATCAATATCTGACTTTAAATCATGGAGAAGACGTATCCCTCCACAAAATATATACTGAAAAGAGACCAGAGCAAAGTTTCACTGAAGATCATTTGAAACTTTGTACAAATAGTAAATCCTCATCTATATTCTATTAAAAATATCTGTAAATGTGACCATGTATTGTAGCAGTTACTGTCAAGTTTAGATAACGTTAATGAACTAAAACAAACCTTTGCATCTCGCAGACCGGAAGTGTCACGTGGTGTGCGAGAGGAACTGCGACTGCGTGCTGCAGACTTAGGGGGTTCAGATTCTTCACGTTTACGTTTCCTAGTAACACTCCTGGATCTTCTTGCTTGGATCATGTAATGTGCCTGAAATTCACAAAGGAAGCATTAGAGATGCTATTGTCTAATTCAAGTAGAATAATTTAAAAATCATTGTAAAAAGACATCCTGTGGCTTCCTGTGATACAGCACTCTTGGCTCTTCCTCATTAAGCTAAAGACCATTGGATAAGTCCTTAAGTCAACTGTTGATCAAAGTTCTCTGCTGTATTTCCAACAATTCTTATGCAAAAGATCACCAACATGCACTTAGTATGACACATTCAACATTCTCATACTGATTCCCCTAAAATA